CACAACCTCAACCAAGTTATGGACCTCCACCATCACAACAACCTTTACCACAACCACAACCTAGTTATGGACCACCAATCCAACAGCAACAACCAATACCAAACTGTAACCATCAGCAGCAACAACTATTGCCTCAACCTCAACCTAACTATGGATCGCCTCAACAGCCACAGCCTACTCAACCTTCAACATTATATGGTGCCCCACGACCAAGTACAATAACTCCTCAACAAAATTATGGAAATCCAAAACCATCCGATACTAATCAGCCAACTGTAGTACAGTCGATCAGTTTTGGAATACCATCACAATCGTTTAATACACCAAGTCAACTTTTGGGAACGTCACAAAATCAGAATGGATATTCTTATAGCCCTCCCGCTGTCCAGCAACAAAATAATCAATTTCAAGGTTATTCTTACAACCAACCAAGTCTAAGACCAAATCAACAACCACAGCAATCCAAGCCCAGTTTTACCTATAGTACATCTCAAATGCAACCTCAAAATATACCTCAACAGGTTGGTTATTCATACAATCCACCACAACCATCTATACAACAAAATAATGCAAAACCCCCCTCATCATCACCACCTCAAACCACATATGGGACACCACAACAACCTCAAACATCCCCTCCGTCAAACAATTATAGTCCTCCCAAGCCACAAGCTCAATCAAGACCGCAAAGTAGTTATATTTATACTGGTATTCCGGTAACAAGTACACAAAGGCCACAACCACCTCAGCTAGGATATAGTTACAGTCCAACTCAAGTTCAGATTACTCAAGTACAATTTAAACCACAGCAGACCACAGCAGGATCAGGAGGATACAGCTATAACACTCCATCAATACCGTTCCCAACATCTGCTTCACAAGCCAATTCCCAATTACAATTCCCATATAGCGGGCCGACGCAGTCTCCTTTACCGACATTCACGACTTCTTCGCCAACGCAAACTTACAGCGCGTCTGCAAACTCACCTTCGATAGTGACACCTAACGGACGGAGCTTAAACTACCAGTCGTCGCAGCTTACGGTACAACCGAACGGATCACCATCACAACCATCTAGTAGCTATGTGACAGCGAAACCGGGCCAGTCTAACACACAGACTCAGTCAACTAGCCATGGGTCGCAAACACAACAGTCAACGCAAATACGATTTGACGAATTTGCGGCTCCACAATCTGAATTACAGCCGCAACCGGCGTACGGCTGAGAGTAAATTCTAACCAGTTCCACAAATTGGTAGCGTGCGTACTTGGATGGAGTTCACCATCAAGTCTGCCAATATCATTAGACTGTTTAAAGGAATAATTTTTATCAGCCATAAAAAAAATGTTATATAATTATAGCATTTAATGAAATTAAGTAGTATGTGATGTTCCACAATTTTTAATCAACACATTACAGTAAGAACATCGGCTTTTAACATGATATAAATTTTATTATGCTACTTATAACTACATATCGACTAGACAATTTCATTGTAAATACATTTCACTTTAATATTTCATTCTATTATAATTGTAATATTATATAACAACTTTTTTGTTACTTGTAAATAGTATGCTAAATTGTCCGTCTATTTAACGATATACAGATATAATAATATATTTAAATATTATGTATAATTATTTTGTATATTTTTCACTAAAAAAAAAAAAAAAAAAAAAAAAAATACAAATCGGGACTTTAAATATTACGAAACTGCCATATAACAAAATGTTCCATTGTGTGCTGATATGTTTATGTTACTTAAAACTGATATAAATTATCGATATGAGGATTCGGTCGCTTCCAATTATGAAATAGTTAATCTATTTTGGCTTAATTTAACATTTTAAAGTCAAACAACAATAAATTTATTTAATCGTATGCTGTGATGAACAATTAAATCGACCGAACATCACCAAGTAAAATATTATTAATTATAAAAGATGTAATAACTCTAAAATGTATTTATATTTTTTACTATTTTCCTAAAGGTCAGTCATGTATTAAATACATATAATGATATGTAATTGTTAATCTTAACAGTAAGATAAAATGATATGTATCATTATACAAGTCCTTTAACAAATTCCCGATAATAACAATAATAGTGGAATTTTAAGTTTTATGCTTAAAAATATACATAAAAGCACATAAAATCTCTGATTAAATTTAAACGTATTTAAAAAAGCTCAACAATCACATTAACAACTTTATCAATTAATTAATTAACATATTCGAGTTCTAAAATACTAATTCTAAAAATCGATAATATCATAGTGTAATATAAATTTATCTTGTTAAATTTAAATGCCAATTAATTTATTTTCAACTACAGACCATTATAAATTGGCGTTTTTTTTAATAATTCTATATATCGTGTTTATTCTATTTTTATAATTATTTTAATTATTATCATTTAATATTAGTTATTATTTTAATTAAATTTTTTGGAAGAATCAACACTGAAAGTATATTATAATATAACCTTATAGATCTCAAACGTGTAACAGGTACAGTGTTTTCTAATACTGATACATTATTCAATTTCTAATTCTATATTTTTAAACAACAGTCAAACAACAAGTGTTATAGTGCCCATGATATTTCACTAAGAAAAAAACCACGCAGGGATAAATAGTAGCTTAGGGCAACAGGATTGTATACAATTATATAATAGTATGGGTTACAACACATTTGGGTACATAATACATTTATACCAACCAATTTAAAAGACGATTGGGTACTTGTACACGATACATATTTGAATACACATAAACGCAATACGTTTACAAAATATCGGATGACTAATATGACGGTATTCGCATGTACACTACTTAATCAATGTATAAAAATCTTTTAATAAAAAAGATATGTATAATAAGTAATAGAAATCAAGCTTAAATTTTAACTCTAAATCCATGAAAAGTGAATTAACATCGCAAAATTTTTTTGTGATACGATACAAAGCCAACACCATCTTAGTGGTTTTTCCTATTTCTATAGATAAATATTATCAATAATTATTGACCATCTCATATCAAAAGTCAAAAACTAATTTTTTGAAAGAAGAATATTTAACACGTGATAAGTTAATAAATAAACACTTGAATCTATAATATATCATCAGTTCTAAAATATGCCTGAATAAATTTTTTCAAGGATCATGGGGGTACCCAAACGTATTTATCACTAAAATTATACGATTGGTATGTTCATATTTTTCACATACTATTTTTTACACTATTATTGAGCACACTAAGTAACTTGAAATTTTAAAACATTTTCAAACTCTTTTTTTTTACATTATAATATGAATTTATGTGTTGACTATTATCATTTCTCGCAATGATTAACTTTGGAAATCATAAAGATTATATAATGCCATTATTATTAACAGTATCAGCACACTACAGGGTTTATTATGAAATAAGTAATAACTCAAGCAAAAAATTATTAAAGATTCATTTTTTGATTAAGTAATAAAAGTTTTTTCTGAAGTTACCTACTTAGAATTATGTTCATTAATATTCTTTAATTATTAAATATTTCGAAGTACTTAATTATCTTTTTGTAAAAAGTTTTGAAAATTTAGCTTATACTAATATCTTTCACATCATTAGAGAGTGATATAAGGTCATAAATGGGCTTGGATTAGTATATATATATATATATATTTTTTTTTTTAACGTAAGTAAAATAACTTTTTATTATGAACCATACTGAACCATGTTATTCAACTAGACAGCGTGCGTGGCTAATAATTATTTGCCGTATGCTCAATATGCAGTGCTCGAAATAGTAAGTACGAACATGCTCAATCGTAGGTATACTATTTTTGTCTTTTATTTATACCAATCATACCCAAACGTGTTACGGTCGGCCCACTCTTATGAATAAATAGGTTATATGGTTGTATTAAGACTTAGGAGTTTTCGGTTACAATAAATTGCAAATAGAGGGCTACTACGATAATACTCGTGATCCTACCAGAACGAGGCCGTGCTAGGTACGACCGACTCAAAACCCGGTAGTCGTCTGCTCGTATCCCTGCTTGTACACCTTTCCTACGACGCTGGCTTTCCTCTGAACCGCCGTGGTAGTGGTACTAGCGACGTCGTCGTTGATGTCTAGCGCTGGGTTAATTCTGCCGTTCCGTTCGTCTTTGCCGACCAGACCGGTGGTCACTGCGGCGCCATATTGTGCCCCCATCGGACCTGTAAAATAATCGCATGTGAATAAGCAATCGGCACATAAACTAAATGCAAGTATATGACGAGAAATGATTTATTTTTTCCCAATCTTACCTGATGTGAGCGTGGTCATCTGTTCGCCCTCATGCGGCTCTCCGACGCGCACCGCGTCTTCCGGGATGTTCACCACGCAGTGGAACCAGTCATAGTGTGGCGCCAACTTTCCATTGACAAACAGCCACCTGCGGAAGCGAAATTAATTCGATGTGATGATGCATTCGTGTTATATATAGTAAAAAAAGTGACGTACAAATACAGTTTATAGTACAAACAATAATTTAAATATAACATTTTGGATATTTTTTCGTAGTTTAAATATTTTTATGCGTAATTATTATAACATGTAAATTAAACAAATTTTCCTCTCTATTATTCGAGTATATAGATTGCAAAAGTTAAATACTATGAAATTTCACTGATTGATTGAAAAAAAAATAGATACCTAAATATTAAGCTTCGAGTAGACATTTTAACTTAACTGGAGCAAAAATGTTTTTTTTCAAATTTGTACGAATTGATTTTTAATAAAATATATTATGTAACTACTTAAATCAGTTTTCACAAGTTTTTTTGGCATCTTTTATTATTTTCCTAATCAGAATAAATATAATTCCATCGTATTTATCTACCATAAAACTCTATTTAGTTTTTATAAGTTTTTACTAAACACAAAATATTTAACATTAAAATTAAACTAATTATTTATCAGATCATTAGTAGTGTAACTAGGAGAGTACAAAAGAGTCTTTAGCGCCCCCTAGTTCAAATTTAGCACCTCTTTTTTTTTAAATCTAACTATTATTGTTTTAGTAAAATACTATGGCTCTGTAAGGCAATAACAGATTTAGCACCCCACGTTTTAGAAGTCTAGTTGCGCCTATGCAGATCATACTAAGTAGTAGTAGTTCACTTATATTTATTTTTTAAGTTTAAGTTTTTTTTTTTTTACATAAGCTTCATTTAATTATTGAACAAAATATTATGACTATAATTCATGTACGTTAAACATATTATATTCAAAAGGACTGATATTTATGCAATTATCCATACTTATATATATATATATATATCCATACCTTTTATCGTGTACCCTCCAACCCCCATATATTTTATACAGCAATGATCATTGATCATAGATATTGGTAGTACCTATATGTTATACAATAATAACAACATAATAAAATTAAATACTCACTTTGTAAACCACGAGACGAATACCAGCGTAAACAACGAACAAAGCATAGCTGTGGTCCGGAACGGAAACAGTTGTTTTTCACCGTCCCATCCAGGGAAGTATATCATTGGCGACAGGCCCAATAGAGGTTCGCCTCCAGCTATACGTATGTAAAATGCGACTATGTACGCGGCTAGTGACCCGTATGTATTGCAATAGTGTTTGAAATGAACTACCATAGTTAACTGCGGGAATAGGATAACGTAAACTAGGTCAGAGCACATGGACCACAGGCCGTAAATGGACGGGATAGTAATTGCCATAGTCGTAGCAGAAATAGCAACGACTATGATAGATAATCGCATGACCCATACAATCTCCATTTCTGATGCCTAAAATGATTAAAACGATATTTTATTATTATTATACATATACCAGGTATACCTACATCATATCACGTATTTTAATATTTAATACAATTTAACCACCCGCAGAATTTAACCCGAACACAGTACATGTAAATTATAATAGATAAATATAGGTATTTCATACCAACATAATTTATTTTATAATACTCATGTAGTATGAGTATACAAGTGGCATTTAAAATTTGCTGCAAAAATAGTTAGATATAGATACTGGTCAAGTATTTCTCTCAGGTGGTGTTCTCCATATTTTAATTATGTTATTGTGAAACGAAATACCACAACAACATATAATTTAATATATTATGCGATATACAATCTATACTTTTAAAATGTATAATATGTTTATATTAAAAAATACGTGCATGTGAAACTTACGCTTTGTCGTAGTAACATTCGATAGATGTTTCGAGCAAACATAGAACTGGCAGATAGAACACTGGAATCAGCCGAAGACATTATAGCTGCAGAAATCGCGCCCAATGCAAAGAAAGCCACCCAATCCGGAGTTAAGTACTGCATAACCATTGGCAACACCATGCTAGTTTCCTTCTGAGTCATTGGCATCGGACCATCGTATTGTGTTTGATTCCAATCTGTTACGTGAACCAAAATTTAATGAACGTCTTTATTTACAATATAAATAAAACAATTGAATAATGTAAAAAGTGATATCATCTTTTATATTATATCTGTACGACAATAATAAACAAATAACTAAATCTCACATGTTGTCTAAAGTCAAGTATTTGAATTCTGTAATGTGTAAAATTTAAATGCTACCAAAAGATCGTCTGTTTGAGTTTACGTTTATAACAAAGTTAACTGGTGTGATTATAACAGAAACGGAAAAAATTATCTTTTTTTAATTAATTATTTTTTAGTTTTTTAATAGAGATAGGTCTTGGACTCTTAGAACATCTTAATACTTTGAACTTTAAGAAATTTGAGCTATTTAAGTTAGTGTAAAATTAAAGTTTAGCCAATCCCTGAGTTTTAAATCAAGTAGAATTTAACACTACAATTTAGTTATATTTCAAGTACTAGTCATATCGATCGTCCTCATAAACATTTTCGATACTACATTTCACTGTACAGTTAAATATACTGAATTAAATATACACACCTGTAGCCCTTGCTACCATTCCAATAATGACCGGTGGTATTGCCATAATGAAACATCCAAAAGCAGCGACAAATGAGAGTATCTGAGCTTGTGCAGCAGATTTACTGGATAACACCCTTTGAAAATAGACTTGCCACGGAATTCCACCAAACACCAACAGCAACGCATAATCTACGTAACTTAAGAAATCTTTTCCCTGGATCTCGCCGATCATATCCAAACCTGGCTTGTTAAAATCTACTTTCTTGTTATACCACGCAAATGGCACACTCAACCACTATAAAAGTAATAATAATAGACTTAGTATTTATTTATTTAGATATATATTTCATAATTGTACAGCCAAAATCCCAATAAAACAAAAATAAGTAAAATATATGAAGTGAACAATATGACTTACTAGCTAATAATTTAAAAACTAAAAAAAAAAAAACGGGAATCTTCATTTTTTCTAGTTTAATAATGTTAGGTGAAACCACTAAATAATTGGTAAAGAAAAAAGGAACGTAGAAAATAAAATTGATTCTTGTAGAGCAAAGTATAAATCTGAAATTACTATTGAAAAGCAATGTAGAGGAATCAATATCATCTACTTGAAGTTTCCTTAGGAAGTTGTAATAAGTAGCTTGTCTTTGATCTAATAAAAAAGACAGATTAATTTAAGCTGTTCGAGTAAGAGAGCAATCAATTACCAATACATAAAACTTAGAAATTTACATTGAATTTTTCTAACATTTGAAAATCACTAATCTCATACGACAAAATCATACTCAATTAGTGAGCAAACTAATAAACAAAAAAAAAGTTTTAATAAAGAGCGTATTGTTTAAATTTTGTGCATATTTATTAAATAAAACCAAGAACTTTGAATGCTACTATTATATTAAATTTATTCTATAAGCTTTATTGTTGATTTTTTCCTTTTTATGTTAAAATAAAATATTTATATTTCATACCAGTCCTATGAATATGGCGAACAGTTGAATGACATCCGTGTAGGCGACGCTGGCTAGTCCACCAAAAATGGTGTAGAAAACTGCGATGCAACAACTCAAAATCACGCTGGTAGCCTGGTCCAATTCGATTATCACGCTCAACGTAGCCCCTGTATATTATATTGTTTATTATACATATTGATGAAACGATAGGATAAAATAACATACATTATTCCTGCTTACAAAACCCACACAAACGTGCAACATGCAGTTTTAAATTTTTTTTATATAATTTCATATGATACATACCCAAAGCAGACAATATCCCGGCAGACCAAAACACTTCACCGCATAGAGCTGGTAAAAACAGCAGTCCTCCCATACGTTCTCCAAAACAATCTTGAAGTGGATCCAACATGGTGACATATCCTTGTCTGCGCATCGGATCGGCGAAAAATATTCCACCTGATTTTTTTTATTTATAATATTATATCATAAGTATTTTAATCACCACACTATAATGTACGTATATCATATTGGCATTCCAATAACACATTTTACTGGACTTTTAAATACTAAAACGAGTAATCAAATTGTTTGTTTTTTATTCGATTTAAATATATATTTATCTATACAAACCAACTATACATAATACATAAAAATAAATTAATCCAATCACTTTAGAAATTTTAAAATCCTATACGACCAACTTACGTGGGATTATTTTATCAAATATTAATTATCAGATAAAACAGTTTAATAAGTAATTGTCACACTAATAATATGACTATAACATTAAGTGAATTTCCGAACTAAGGTAATTTCTTTTATAAAATTATAGGTTATTTTATTATAACATAGATACTATGCATAATTAATCGTTGTAGGTATCTTTTATAAAGAAACCGATAACAGATTATATAATACTATTAGGTACATAATATAGTTAGTTTCGTGAATAACGTATAAACATGATAATTATTGCAAACGCATACTTATTACTAAAATACTACACCTAAATTTTATCACTTACCGAAGACCAAACTTAGAGCGTATCCGAATGGAGCTTGACACCATAACAAGCCTGACGTGTAAATCGCTTCGGCCGTCCCATTAATATAACCACCGCCGACCCAAGTTGCTAAAACGAAAACAATGTGTAAATAGTACACGTTAGATCGTTGTATTATACACACGTATAAATAATAAATGTAATAATACACAGAATTTTTAAGCTTAATCATATTTGAGCCACAGAGTGGTTTAGAAAAGCATGTACTCTTAATAATTTATAAAACTAATGCCAGGAAACTGTATTGTGATAAAAAAAAAATCATTCTATATACGTAGTATACTCGTATACTATAATATTATTCGTATGTTGCGATTATAGCAAGCAAACACCTCACCCGTCATCGTAAATATGCCGACGAAAAGTCCAATATTTCTGCCCGCCAACATTACTTCTTCCTCCGAGTTCCCGGTGTGTTTCTTCTTGCCGGCCCATAGTCCAACCGACAAGATTAGGCAGTAGAAGAAAACTATAGATATGATGCCCACAACGTTCATCGTCTAAAATGATCATATGCAACAATAAAACAATCATAACTTTGTAAACTAATAATTTATTACATCGTATGAGAAACAATTTCTCAGCTTAACCGATTAACACTCACGTATGATTTGGTCGGACGTGTGCTTTTCTTTGTAATTAAATTGTCTTCCAAACGACTGTTCACGTTTTTTCTATTAGTGCTCTCTAGATCAAATTGACTAACACATTTCCGGTAACAATATCACCAACAAATTGTTTTTGTTAGGTATTTTTATTTTTTCAACACAACAAAAATATATTAATAAAAATGTATGTAACAAAGTTTAAACAAATATAGGATATGTATATCGCGAAATACTTTTTATTAACAGATTATTAAAGGTAACTCTTATGAAACGGAAAGCTTGGCTCGAAGTTACAAAAAATAAATGTAAACCGATTTTAGTTTTCTGCAGGCTTTTAGTGCAATTGGCTCAAAACAGCGGACAACAATCGCCCCAACGCAATGACGTTTTCTGCGATGGACTATTGCGTGTTTTGAACCCTAGGCTGTACATCAGTCCGATTGTTTGATTCGATCTTGGAAAGGAACATTTAAAATAGATCCAAACTCTCCTAAACATAAAAATAATAACAAAAATATGTTAATTTTATGTGTACACAGTATGTTCCAAAAGTCCCGTATCACCCTTAATATCTCCATGAAAAATCAATATATTTAAACGCTGTTTTTTTTTTACAGTACTAAGTATGAAAATTCTGATTGAATGGCATAAAATTCAATTTCTTTTTATGCATTTAAGAATTTTAAATTTTTAAAATAACCATTTTGTTGAACATATTTTTTAAAACAGTTCAAAAAAATAAATATATATATTAAAATTGACTAGAGCATAAGTTATGTTTTTGAATAATTGTAATAATAATTAATACACTTGTATGTTACCTAGTAAAATACGAATTGCATGATTTAATCAATCTCGATTAGAACGCTGATTTTTTTATGGCAATTTGTAAATATCTAATTATTAATAGAGCTTTTAGGAAAGATTAAAATTAAAATTCAAATAATATTTTTAACCTTGATTATTAATAGAAAAAAAGAAGATTTTATTATATAAAATGAAAATAATTCATTATATTTTTTTTTTTTTTAGCAATGTTTGAAGTGACCTCCATTATTTACAACACAGAGTTAAAGTTTTTAAATCCATGCGTTTTTAACTTTTTCTAATGTCTCAGGTAAGACATTTTGAATATTTTGTCCAATTTTATGACAAAGATCAGGCAATAAACACGGCAGATACACAACATTTTTCAAATAACCCCATAAAAAAAAATCTATTGGTGTTAAGTCGGGAGACCTTGGTGGCCAAAGCACTAGACACCTTACTCCGATCCATCTTTCCAGGAAGTGTTCGTCCAGTCAACCTCTCACAATATTTGAATTATGTACTGGTGAACCTTCTTGGATAAAAATAAGCTCTATTCTATTTTTACTAATTAACTGAGAAATTATTGGTCACACACGTTCTTCTAATCAATCTCTATACTTTTCTCTGTTTAAATTTCTTTCAATAAAGAAGGGTCCGATAATCTACCTATTCCAAATGCCACTTCAAACATTTAATTTTTCTATATTTTGGGCATACAATTTTATAAATTCATGTGGGTTTTCGTCAGACCAGTAATACGTCCAGAGTCTACTTGTTTATCCATTTCTGATAAAAGTAGATTCATCGGTAAAAATTAATTTATCTATAAATAGTGGGTCCTGACTAATTCTATGTAACGACAATTCACAAAATTGTAAACGCTTTTCTCATCACCTGCATGAAAATGATGAACAAATTTTGTTTTATATGCCTTATTGCTCTAACTTGGTAAATTTTTATTCAATTTTAATATTTATTTTTTTTTCGAACTGTTTTAAAAAATATGTTCAAAAAAATGGTAATCTTAAGAATTTTAAATTCTTAAATGCATAAAACAAAATTGAATTTTACGCCATTCAATCAGAATTTTCATACTTAGTACTGTAAAAAAAACCACGCTTAAATATATTGATTTTTCATGGAGCTATTAAGGGTGATACGGGACTTTTGGGATATACTGTATATCATATAAGTACTTGACTAAATTTAAAGTTATGATTAAGTATTTTAGTCGAGTGTTAGCTTATAATATTATATAGAATTTTATACAATTAATCATTTATTTCCCCGAGTAAAAATGATAATACTTTAAAAAAATTAATATGAAGACATATTAGTGATTTGTTAATATATTCTTCAAAAAAAACGAACAATCCTAATTCTAATTTTAGGTATAGTTACAATGTTTTCCTTAATTAGATGCAATTTGAAGACAATAGTATTTGTTTAGATACAAGGTTATTTGAAATAACAATTTTTTACATGATATTCACAATATACATATATAATATGGAAAGAACCCCAACAATTTAACTATTTGGATAATTTATTTTATCGAAAAAATAATTTATATGAGTCATATAATATATATACTACAGTTACATAAAAAAGGGTATCTAATGTTGTAATAACTACATATAATTGTTATGGGGCATTACTTTATTATGATTGTGTAATTTTATTTACCTAATTGTAATGCAAAGTTAACACGACACATACCCTAATCAACATATATGAAATCTATGAATACATTTATTTTGAATGTACGTTACTTGATAATTTTATTTTAAAATTTTTAGGCTTGATTTCTTTAAAAAAATATTTTTTTGTTTGTACCTATATACGTATATTACTATATGTAGGTACATTATGCCAATATATTTTACACTTCAATATTTTCATTCATAAAAACATTAAACCTTTTAGCAATTAATTTCCTATTTCAAAATGCATGGCAATCAAAAAATAAAAACATACGGTTTAAATCAATCTAAATAAGTATACACTTTTCGTATAAATAAAATAAAATAAATCCAAGCCAACATTATAAATTTCTCGTAAAAATGAATTAGCAGTTTATTTACAAATTTATAGTATATTACTTTTTGTATATCCAATACTATAAAAATACAGGGCTTTTAACCCTACTGCAAGAACATAAGTAAACTGCAAATACATAACCCATATGAATGTATAACAATTAGGTTAGGATTATCCTATAATCCATTTTAGTTCATACCTAACAAAAATAATTAATGGAATCTAAATCCTTACAAAACCCGTTAAAAAGTATGAATCTAACCCTCGATAAAATCATAATGAACAAATTATATTTCAGTTTGACCATAATCTAAATTTGATTCATAAAAAATATATAATGATAATCTATTTTCTTCTAAAATTTTATTTTATAATAATAGCTTTCACTTTGATCTATTTGTCACAACTAAACAACCAATTATCAGATATAAGATTTACAGAAAAGTTCATGAAGGTGCATGATGATATAGGATTGTCAGAAAGAGTAAGGAGATGTATATAATAAAATAAATATAATATTCTATAGTGCCATTAAATTGTTCAGTAAAATCTCTACAAAACTATATTATGTCTCTTCGTTTTTGATAAACAAAACTTTAAAAATAAAATAAATTACAAAAAATTAGCATAAAATAAAATGTATTTTAATATAACTCTAAAACCTAATAATTTTTCTACTTTTAGATAATTGAATTATGTACTCATAAAATGTTCAATGCCAGACAAAAGCACTTAGGTATATTTAAAAAAAAAAACTGATAAAATTAAAAGATAAAAATAAAAATATTAAATTCTACAGATAAATTTGATAAATTTGGAAAAAATATTAAGAGAGTATAAAAAAAACCCTTAATACAAATCGTTGATGTCAACAAAAAAGAGATTAATAAATTTATGAAAAATAAAAATCCAGTATCCCAAAAGCTTAATTTTTTTTTTGATATTTTGCTGTCGATATAAAGTAATATTATGATATATATTTTAAAAATACAACTCTGGTTCAGATTGAAATAATATTTTTTATATATTTTGGGGAAAAAATTGGTATTTCTTTAATCCACCTAATACAACATATGAAATACAATATAATATATACGTTATTTTTTGTTTATTTATTATCATATTATTCTCTAAAGAAATAACTATCTAGCAAATGTACACAATTAAAAAGAATAAAAAATTATCACTTTAAACGAAAAAAAAAAATTAAAATTAAATTGATTATAGTTAAGGCGAATTTTCCATCACAATCACAAATCACAAATCTAAAGTTTTAAATCTCAAATGTTATACTCTTAATTTAGTAAACTAAATAAAGATAAAAAATAGCAATAATAAGTGTGATGTTGCGAAGATAGCAAAAAAAGGACACCGAGTTGATAGCGTTCTAGAAACATCTCTGTACGACGTGTCTCAACACGCGCATTATAGGCATTAGACAACGAGAAAATTCTGATGGGAAACAATGATAGTATAAGAACAATTATATTTAGAAGATTTAATTTTAAACGACCGTATTATATACCCTATAAATTATTTATCTAGGAATTCTTAGATAAAAGTATTACAGTTAAGGTGTAAAGTTAGTTGTGAAACAATATTGATGTTCAAGAAAAAAAGATTCCACAGACAATTCTAAAACTGTTATTGTAGTGACTAATGTCAGTTCAACCATGTACATCTACTCTGACCTACATAATCGATCCATGCACTACGATATAATTGTAGACTTTGTTTAATATATTTTTTTTTTATTATTAATTATTGTATTATTGTATTATTGTATTTATAAGCACGACATATACCAAAACCTGATGAGAAATAAAACTTTATAGGATTGTGCGTATGCATGATTAAGTATACTAATTATTTATTGAAAATATATAACATCGGATAATGATTGTTTTTTAAAATTTTCGATTTTATTAAGTTAAATACTTTTATTATGTTAAGATACAATTTTAAATACATTATTTGAGATAAATTATTCAAATTGTAAAAACTAGTAAACAAAAAAAAAAATTGATCAGATATATTTGTGATATTATAGAAATTGATATTTTTACCATTTCATATTTATTTTTTTTAAAGTCTAATATTATTGTCAAAGTTGTAGATAATATTTAAAATAATTTCATTCATTGTTGTAATTTTTATATTTCAAATATTAAATAAATACTCAGATACTAAGTAATTTAGATAAATTGAGACAAAATTGTCAAAATAAAGTGCATACACTTGTGTGTTTTAAATGCATATATTATATAATTTGATAAATTATAACAATTAAAAAAAAAAATTTTTAATTATTTTGATAAAATAAATTTTTTTTAGTAATAATACTAAAAAGTTGAAAGTTAAGCTTATGTATAGTTAACCAAACTACCTAGCTATATCGAAAATATTGATTAAACATATTAAAAAAGAAATAAATCGACGTTTATTTATTTCACAATGATATTATTTTTGTATGTTACTTAATAATACGGATGTAGTTTTTGTTTATTAATATTGTAATTTTTAAACATAATTTAATACACTTATTTAATACACTTTATAATTATAGCATTTAAATATTAAAATTTACAATATATTAGATCTTTACCACTATTTTATTAACTTATTTTAAAAACCATAACTATAATTTATTTTTATAGAAATTAACAAATAGCAATAATAATAACTATAGAATAATAAGCTTTATTCCAGGCATGTTGCAAATAATAGTGATCGATATTTATATAGGATGACTAACATTTAAGTGACTTTCTATTACAGTCTCTAAAATATGTATATGATCTAAAAAATGTACAACTTATAATGGTGATATACTAATTAGTCATTATTATTTTAATATCACGTTTTACGCGTCGTACCACTTGCACCCGCATGTGAAACTCTAGGAACGCACACATAATATTCATAAAACATACACCTTCTAGTGTAATTTCTTTTATGATTTATTTTACTTAAACCGAGATAAAGTTTTTTTATACAGTTATTAATTCTGATGGTAAAAAGCTTACCACTCCTACACAGTTAATCACTAATTCTAATCTATTTTTTCGACATCAACTAGATTATCATACACAATGGACATGTATAATATACGCTTATAAGAAAAAAAACTTACTCTGCAATGTTATAAATTGGAATGAATTATTCATAAAATAATCATTAATGATGAGTGATAACAAAAATTTCGTATGGGAACGGTAAAATTGTAAACGTATTCATCAACAGTGATCGTCACCAAGCCGAAAAAATAATTTTAAAATGAAGTTCACCATTCAATCAAGTAATCGATTTGATAATAATCATTTATCAAAATACTATTTTTTTTCTACTAAAGTTTAGAAGCATTTAGTTAAATATAAACAATGAACATTAATTATTTAAGTTTGGTTTCAGGACAACTGACCGTCCCACTTTATCGGGACAACAAGACACTATATACAAAACAGGGACTTATGGCAACACTAACCTAATAGTATTCTTCCTATTAGTTTTTATATATTCGATAGTAACTATAAATGCCAACGTACAATTATATATTACACCTCGAATTTTCTATACGTTAAATGTGGCTATAATATGGATTCCTAATATCAAAACGAAAGTTTGTTCACAGTGCCCGAAAATATTTATCGAGATTTAATATGTTCCAGAAATATAATTTATAATTATAAATTCGTATGATAATATAATTGTTTTTTGGTGTCTCCCGTTTTCATTATACTTATTTACTTATATTTAACAAATAGATTTCGAGTGATGAAAATAGTTTAAAATATTAAAAAATTTAAAAATAATTTGATTAATCTTTTTACTATTAACAATTATAACAGAGTTGATGGATTAAATAATAACCCTTATTTTTTAACAAATATGGCCCGCATAAGCATTACAGTATTAATAATATAACCGTATACTTAACATCATTACTTCTAATGTACTTTTAAAACGCTTATTAAATACTAGCGTTATATAATTTTGAATTCTATTCTAAGAAAATTGATAACAATTAACAACTACAGAACGACAAACTTTTAGATCTAATGCACGCTTAATTTGGTTAGGAATTTATTAATAATGCCATGTTAATTAACAATAGAATTATAAAATATATTAACTCAAATAACGAATTACCATTTATCACTATCAATCTTAATTTATAACCATCCTTAAGTATGAATATTTTATTAAATTATTAAACTACTGTTGTGTCTCTTTAACATATTATTATCAAGCGTCAAGCATTATATGGAAAAAATTTATTGCAACTTATTATAAACTAACTAAATAAATGATACGTTAAATAATTCAGCAATAAGGACATTTAATTTTCTATCTTGAGATTATAAATTATAATATTAATATTGTATCAATTAAATTTTCCGCATTCGATTTTATTCACACTTATTATTTGCTTCATTTTTCAAAGCATTTATAATCCTCTGAACAAATTCAGTCTAAAACTAAATTTAAATAGTTGATTAACATTACTTTGAATATTTTCATTTTTAAAAAATAAATTTACTTAACTAAATAGTGTAGGATCTTGTTTTATTAATCAAAATTGTAAAATTGTAAAATTATTAAATTAAATCAGTAAATAAATCTTAAAAGTTAAATACTTCATCATGTTCAATGTCAATAGATATCAAATTAAATGAATAACGATTAAGAATGTATTTATTAAAATCCAAACCAAATCAATATTTATTTTACTGCCAGTTTAAAAATATTCTTAAATTTATATAAAATTCTTTTTTTTTAATTAACAGTCGATAGCAAAAACTATCGGAATTTACAAAAGAAATTTACAGTTTATAATATACAATAGATAATTATATATCTTGTGCAATAATTTATTTATTTATTTATTAGTTTTTACGAAATTATATAGAAAATATTTAGATATTTGATATAAAACAATATCTATTACATATTTTTGTATGTACATGCAGTACTCATTATGATTATTATATAATTAAATGCATAATAGGTATACATTGTGTTTTTCATATTTATTATTTTTTTTAATAATATATCGGTATATTGCAGATTACATTTGGATTTAAATAATTCAAATTTTGCTACTTTACATCTTTGAAATTAATAACATTGAATAACTAAGGTCATTGTTGTTACTCGATATTGCTTTTAATCGTTTTATAATTGAATCGTTTGATGTAGATGTTTATAAAAAAAATATTGTCTGTTAATTATACGCCACTACATTTTGAATTGAACCAGTTGAAATGTCATTTATTGATAGTCGTATATATTATATTGTTTCTGTTATGGTATTTTACAACGCATAATCTAAAATGGGTATTCTTATATAATGACGTATTTGATGTCAAAATACAAGCTCAGATTAAGTGTGAAGGGCACGGTTGCGAGACCTATATATTTTTACAAAATATTTTATTTTATACACATTCAAAAATATTTAAAAAAACGAATTAAAAAATAGTCATATCACGAAAAATTACTAAATGATAAATTTCTAATACATTGATATAAGATAATATGATAAAGTTTTTAAATTAATGAAAATGATAGTTGTTAATAATGTAATTCAATGTAGTTTATGTTATGATGTTACGATTCCATTAAATTATATTTAATTATGAACTGGGATAAAATTTTTTTGAAATATTCCAATGAAGTAATAAACGCCTTATATTAGTATCTAATTCTTAAATATAATATTTTACAACAGTGATCCTGATGAAACTGTACTTAATATAATTCATAGTAAAATTATTGTATTATATGGATAATTATTTTACAAGTCTTCGTCTTTTGTTTGGTTTTTTTCTTTTTTTTTTTTTGAATATTAAAGAATTTAATAATATTATAAACAACTATAAAAATAGTAATTGAAATTTTTTTTAAGTGAGAAAAAAATTTAAATAAATAAAAGAAACAACTAAGTGTCTGATGTTCCGGAGCTCAGTGGATTCTAACCGTCCTAACCTAACCTAACTTAATCGAACTTGGAGCATACTCATGTATCACTATATATCGTCGAATCAACTGTCTGTTTAAGAAAATTAAATACCTAGGTATTATTATAAAATTATGTAAAAGACGTTTTTCTTTAACGTCAAACTATTGAGCGCGTTATATAAATGTATATTTTAACCGATATTTACGAGTATAGAATAATATATTATAACAGATTGCAGACGAAAGAGAATATTATGTATGTATTATATAAATGTAAGCGTATAGCACCAAGCATGTGTCCGACGTCGTACAGTGAATAGGTATATACGTTTATTTGGTACCTGTAAATTTAACGAAAAACCAAAAGATTTTAAAGGACCTCGACGTCCAGTAGGAGGCGACTAACCCAATCAGTTAATGATAAGTTACTGTAAAAGTTCACGTCATTTAAAATAAGTAATAATACAAACATATTAATATAATAACGAAGTCACACGCGCGCGCGTACCTACTACATTCACATAAAATATAAAATAAAGACGATACAGGTAAATTATTGGACGTTCGGACTCACCTCTATGACGATATGCTTCAAACGCCACGCGCGATGGCGACGGATGTTTTTTCTCTTTTCTTTATTTTTTTTATTTTTTAATTTTTCGTTTTTAAATATTTTATTTTTATTTCTTTATCACTGTGCGGTCGCCATGCTCGCTAATTATTACTAACGCCACGGAGCAAGGCAGACTGGTACGGCGGTCCCGACGACGGCCGAACTCGTCACATATTGATCGGACGCGTCGCAGGGTCCTCCGGAGGGATGAGTGCGCGTGCGCAGCTGACACACAGGCACACACGCAAGCACGCGCATACAGTCGCAGCGAAAGCGCGCCATTGGCGTTCGTTCAGTTTTTAAACGCATATATGATATCATTATAGTGTATACTTGTGTAAGTTCGCGTGTGCAGCACGGACACGGGTAAGGGATACCGTTTTTTTCTCGCCGCCGTTTTAAAAGGGGCGGTAAATACGTCATAAAAATCCGCTCCTTTTGGGGGGGAGGGGGGAGAACCTCGGGCCGCGCCGATCACCTGCTGCAGGTATACTTTATGGTGTGCAGAGTTTTGCGTGGGCCGCTGTGGTTGTTTCGACGCGACAACGTTTTATACACAGCAACGCGCCTTTATACTTTATAGCCGTCTCCGAGACGAGCCCGGATAATAATACGCAACGACAAGGGACCCCTAGGCATATTATTTATACAATATTATTAAAATAACGCCAAGTGGTCATTACACAGATATACAATATATAATTATAAGTATATGTCTATAGGTTATTATCATGATAATAATATAATGTTAAGTACCTATTTATATAGACCTTATAGTGAGTTCATTTAAAATATAACACATGCGTATTAATAATACACGATATGTATTGAACCAAGTTCAAAGAAATCGATCGTTATTTTTTTCTAATTAATTAAATTATCGTTCGTATACTTGAATGAAATAAACAAATTATAAATATACGTGAAACTACCGTTATTGTAACGAGTACTTCCGACTGTGTATGATTACCTTGCAATAGTCCGAACCGAAAATACCGCCTTAGAAACTAAACATAATATCAGCACTCGAAGTGAGTATCTCACACGAGCGGGCACTATTTCGGATCCAGATTCGGAATTTCAGACACGAAAATGAGTTTATCAAACTTAATTTAAATATAATATATTATACGGCATGCGTTCCCGATAGGGACCCTACAAATATCAGTCACCAAACCGCTCGGATAATAGCAGACAAGCCTGAAATCACAAATTTTAACGCGTTATTGCTGTATACAGTATATGTAAATCTGACAGAAATAATTAATCGTTTTCTAAAACATCACATACATTAGTGTGAAATACAATTAACATTTAAAAATAAAGAAATTTTAATAACAAAAATCCCAAATGTTATTTAAATATTGTTTGCAGTACCTACCTATGTAAACATCAAAAAATATTTAATCATTAAAGTCTCGGTTAGTACAGTAAGTAAACCAAACCATTTATATTCTTACAATGTTTAATAAGCTATTATAGCTATATCTACCTCTCGTATACAAATTATGGTCAGTAGAAATGTAAACATTTCAAACCATTACCCCAGAACAGTGAAATTTTCGTTCAATTACAAGATAAACCCTATGGCTTAACGCGATAATCACGGCCATTCCGCTTGTCTAAGTTCGATTCGAGTACGGTTTTATAATCAGTGCACACTGATGGTAATAACAATAAGCACGTAAATGATTTTTGTATAGTTATTGCGAATAGCGATATTTTTTCTACGTTTCTATTTACATCTTACATGATAACGATTTTTTATTTTAAATACTTTATAAAGTACAAAGCAGTAATGAAAATTTAAATTTAAAAATAAACATAGTAATTATGTAAATGAGCATCTTCATTGAGGAAAGGATATATGAGTCAAATACTCCAAAAAATTTTTCTTACTTTTCCAAATAGCGAGTATTTTTGATATTGTGGTACTAACATTTTAATTATTTTTCATCAACTTATACTATAGTTAATAGTGGCTAATAATGTGTTTTTTGAAAATAATATTTAATTTATTATCATTTTTCATATTTTTTTATTGCTTAATAATTAACCAAATCAACTATTTGTGTACTTTATAAAATTTTTCTTTAAATCAAGCCACTATCGTTTAACAAACATTATTGAAATTGAGATTTGAAATTAAAATTAATTAATCGTAAATTTCCTATAACAACAACAAATGCTTTATATTTATATAGTCATTCAATATATTTAACAATCGATTAAAATATTATAATATTATCACAACAATACTCAATAATTATTATGTATCATACTAATACTACTACGACAGACTGAACGTTTTGAAGTCATATAACTTAAAAATAAAGAAAATTTGATATATTTTTATAAATTACAAATATATTTTGCTTTGTTTTAAATTTAGGCAAAGTAACAATGTACTTATCGAAATGTTGTACTTATTTTATTGTTATAAATTATAATGGTGTCAAGGGGGATAAGAACTACAACCCCAATCCTGTAGCTAACTTTTTAATTAATTTTTCTGTCCCAGTTCATTTAAATACTCTGAGAATACTACTGATAATATAATACTAGCATTGAATGAAACAAAACAATATGCTCAACAAATATAAAACCAATCTAAAATATTATTTACAGAACAACAAAAAAGTAATCTATAAGTACATATAAAAGAAATTGTTGAATTCATTAGACATGTATTGAAGTTTTTTTTCCAATCAAAATATGCATACAACAAGAACACACAATTTCTTTATCAAAAAATGCAAATAAAGTAATAACTAAATCACATATTTTGATAGAATATGTCATACGATACAATATTACAATAGTAAAATATATATTGAAAAAATATTTGGTAAAAAAACACGATAAACGGAATATCGGACTATCAAATCATAGTGAAAAATTTTTTTAAAAACCTCATTCAAGTTCATATTTTTTTTTTTTTTATTGAACTTAAACCCGGCGACTAGGGCCATTAGCTCTTCAAGTTCTTATTAAATGATTACAAATAAGAATATTATTAAACAAACCAGGGAATAAAGTACAATCTGAAACTACTTTTAAAATGCTTAATCGACAGAATGACATAATAAATAAATACTATTATATAGTAATATGCATAATAAATAATAATTTCGTGACTAATGAATAAGTCAAGAATACACTTATTCTTTAATATAAATAAAATTATATAGGTACTTATTTTTCAAGTTTAAATTAAATTTCAAATATATCAATATATTTTTTTATAATTTGAATTGTATCATTGTTAAATATTATAATTATTAAAGACATTTATATTCGATAAAATAGTTTGTTCTTTTATTTTTTTTTTTTATCACTTTTTGTTAAAAAATTAAAGTTGTTACAAAATTATATTTTGCCTAATAACTAAAATATTTTTTTTGTGTAAATATAAAATACATTTATTAATAAGCTCAAATATCCAACTATATTTACATAAAAATAAATGTAAAAATATTCTTATAACGTACACAAAAATTAAAAAATACCAATAACGAATTTATATTTGAAACAATTTGTTAGCCATCAACATAATAGTTGAAATATCAATTAGATATATCCTATTCAATTCGTAATTTTTCCATTAAAATATTAGTTTATTCAAATCTTTCTAATAATTAAAATTGTATTTACTGTATTAAATGATTTACTTACTATATGTATATGACACAGTAATTTTCAACCTTTTTATAATAAACAGCGCATTATAGTCTTGACAAATTTTACAAAGTACACATTACAGCCATAAATAACTTTTTCTTCAAGAAAGACCTTTTTTTTAATCATTTTATTGTTTACACCAAATTATACTTTATTATAAATAATTAGTATAATTGACTTATATTTTATTATATTTTTAATAATTGCAATTATAGCTATGAGACATTGATTGAAAACTACCTACTGACTTAGTACCTACCTATATGTGTTTTTTTTTATAATATTTATACATTTTACATCATTTATATAATGTAAATAATTTTAATCTAAACAATATTAATTTAAGCAAATAAAATTGCAACTGTTATAAGGATGAGATTTTTATTTCTACGTAAACTCAGCGCCATTACCTATTGTGTTCAATCTATGTAAATTAAAAAATTCTGCAAGACTCCAAGTTTCACACCTTTATAATTAAATATGTTAAAATATCTTAGTCACGAATACGATTAATATAATATAGGTGTATAACACTTGATGTTGCATTTTTATAACAATATAACTGCTAGTTCATGTTTATTTTATAATGTTACGTACATTATTACTACACTAGATTAAATAAAAATAATGTATAATTTGGTTATCAGTCCATCGCTATATCGCATATTTATCAAAAAAAAAAAAAAACCCAATAAAAATTACCCTCAGCCTAAACATGGACGAATGTAGGTTAATTGAAGAGCTATGTGACCTATTTCTCAACAAAGAACCACTCAGCGAAAAATAAAAAAGTTTATGAATTTTACATGATTTTCTTTTTATACAAACCTAATATTATTCAAAAATGGCAAAATACGTATGATAATAATTTATAACAAATAAATCAATATATTATTTTATATTATTAGTTTTAATTTTTTATCAAATAGAATTGAATAAACATAATTTAAAAACAAATACATCATATATCTATGATAATTATCTGAACAACTGAACAAATAATATGTATTTTAATTAAAATACTATAAAATAAATTTGAATAAATAATAGTTAATATTAATTTAACATTTTAACTCTTGTACAGTAATCACAATCACCTAAACATGAAAATCGCATATAGCATATCTCATTACTTTTTTTACTTGTAAATAATCATACAAATAAAACTCTTAAGTAATAAGTATAAACAAAAATACAGTTCATCCTTGATGTAAAATTAACATAAATCAACATTTGTAAAATATTCGTTTAACACATTATAAATATTAACTGTTGTGTATTACGGCAAGTATGCGGTAAATATAAATTCATTTAAAAATATAGAACGCATTATTATGCTATAAATATTATATAATAATGTAAACAAATCAATTAATTATATAAAATTGACAAGTACTTATCTATAAGTCGTGACAATAGGTACATTATAAAACTTACTAATTATTAGAATGGACTACGGCTGCGGAATTATTCT